CCTGCGGTCGGCGCCCCCCGCGAGCCGGGCTTTCCCGTCCCGGGTGCTCCTCCTCCAGCCCCCGGCGTGCGCGGGTACTTTGGCCTCGGAGCTCAGAAGGAGCCAGAAGTGGGCAAGCCGGGCCGACGGTCTGGGCACATCCCCGCGGCCCCCGGAGCGGAGTCCACTGGCCGGCTCAAAGGTCTGGGAATCCAAGGCATCTGCTAGCCGCCAGCGCCGACCTGGGGCCTGCGGGAGGGACAGAGACTGGGCCTGGGCAAAAGGGGAAGCCGGAGGGCCGGGAAGAGGGCAGACAGCCCCGCTCGCCCTGGCGCCCTCTCCCCAGGCTCCTAAACGCGGCAAGTGGCCCCAGTGTGCCTGATAGACTCGGGCAGCGCTTGTAGTCTGTGGGCCTCCCCAGGGGCGGCCTCAGGGTGGGTGCTGGGTAGGGCGGTGGCCCAGCCTGGCACTGCAGCTTCCTGCCTGGGTTGGCTCCTGACTCCAGAGCTAGAGGGTCAGGAAATCCTACACGGGTCTGGTCTACGGGGACACTCCCTTGCCCAGTGGAGGGGCAGTGGGTGGGAGGCCTGGGACCCCAGCTTGCGGGCAGCATCAGTCAGCTCGCCCTGTTGGCCAGCACCCGGTGGTGGGTGTGCCCTGCTTGGCAGATAAGCCCGTCCTTCTTGCTGGAGCTGCTCGGAGGGCAGCAGGCCGCTGGCGGAGGTGGGAAGCCCAGTCTTGCCTACCTGGACCACACGGCCAGGGGCGCGGCAGGCAGCCAGGAGGTCCCTCTGAAGACCCTGGCCTCACGTGGGCAAGCTGCCCCGTCCCCAGCCAAGTACTTGAGAGTATGTGGTGGTACCACCCCTTTCTGTGCTGTCACCTCTGTTCCCAGAGCGCTGCCCTCCCCCAGAGCGGGGAGGAAGTACCTTGAGCTGTCGGTTTTGGGGACCGGAAACAAGCACTAGGGGGACTTCACCCTGATGGTGGAGGAGGGGAGAGGGAGGAAATGCTGACATCTACCACCTGCCAGCCCCGCCCGCCCGCCTGCCTGTTCTCAGCAAGCCCCTGTGTAGCACCCCGCCGCCGCTCTGCCGAAGACGAGGCAAAGGGGGAACTCCGAGTCCTGACTTCCCAGGGTGGGGGGGAAGTGGAACTGGGGTACGCGGGAGAGGTTAGTCACTTCCCACCTCCACCCACCGCCAGCCCCTGACTGGCTGCTCCGGGGACCTGTCACCCCCTTCTGCCACCTCACAGAGTCCCTAGTGGGGCGAGGGGCAGGCTCCATCTCTCCAACCTTTCTCCCTCAGGTATGGCGCTGACGGTGGACGTGGTGGGACCTGCACCCTGGGGCTTCCGCATCTCGGGCGGCAGGGATTTCCACACGCCTATCGTGGTGACCAGGGTAAGGGCTAGTTCCAGGAGCCGGGGAGGTACCCCCAAAGTCAGAGTCTGCCCTGTCCACTTGGTCCTCACAGACACCTTTCTTCTTCTGTTTTGGAGCCAGAGGCCTGCTTCTGGGATTGTTGGCGTGGGCAGGGCTGGGGCCCCGTTGCCATGGGGATGTGGTAGCCACTTCAGAAACAGGCTTCTAGAGAGTGAAAGGGAGCTGGGCCCAATGCAAGACCTTCTCTTTTCTCCTTGGTCACTAACCCCATACTTGCTGGCAGCCATTTTGGGTGATTATTAGAACAGGAGCCCCGAGCTCTTGGCAGTTTTCCCCTAACCCAGGCCCAGGCCAGGGAGTGTTCACACAGAGGGCCTGCGTGCAGGCAGTACCTGCATGATTTGATTTGCACGGGCAGGGCTCTCTATCCAAAAGTATTTCCAAGCACAGTTCCTGAAATTCTGCCATTACACGTTCTTTGGGGAGCCCCGTTAGAATGCCAGCACTGAGGTGGGTGGCAGGGGGCTGCCACTCCAGCTTTTGGAGGGGATTGACTGATGGGCTGGGTGGACACCGGCAGGCAGGGAGAGAGATGTTAAAGGGAGATGCAGGCCAGCCTGGTTGAAACCAGCTTCTGTGTTTCTTGGGCAGGACAAGGAAATCCCTTCTCCATCCCTCCCTACCTGAGTGTCACCTCAGACTACCTGATCCTCACCCCCTACAGGTAACTGAGGAGGGCAAGGCCGAAGCTGCTGACCTCCGGCCTGGTGACATTATTGTGGCCATCAATGGTGAGAGTGCGAACAGCATGCTGCATGCCGAGGCCCAGAGCAAGATCCGCCAGAGCCCCTCGCCGCTGAGGCTGCAGCTGGACCGGTAGGCCCTCCACCTCCGCTGGGCCTCTGCCAGCACTCTTCTGCCTTCTGCCGGCCCACTCCACAGTGGCCGCCCTCACCCCTTGCTCTCAGGTCCAACCTGGCCTTCCTGGGCCCTCATGGCTCATCCGTGAGAAGGTCCCAAGCTCTGGGGCTGCAGCAGGGTGGGCTGAGGGGGTGTCCCTGTACCCAGCTGGGCATGCAGTCACAGGCAGAGCAGGCTGGCATCAGCCACCTGGACACCCGGGTTTGACTGGTTCCCAGGTGTGCGGGGTACAGGGCGTGGGCATGAAGTCGGTTGAAGAGGGGAAAGGTGTGCCTCAGGCTGGGTCTGCAGGGCCCCTGCCTCCAAGAGGGGAGGGGAGAACCTTTGCTCAGATCCTGGGGTGGTGAGGAGTTTGGGGGCTCACTCCCCATAGAACCACTCCGTTGCTCCCCAAGTTGCCTCTCTGGGTCCTGCTGGTGAAGGCAGATTCCCAGGCTCCTAGGGCTTCAGCCTGGGGGTGTGGGTGGGAACAGGTGGCTCCCTGGGGGTGGGGCATCCCAGTGAGTCACAGGGCAGGAATGCTGGGAGATTCCCCAGCCAGGAGAGCCCTCTGGGCGGGCCTTGAACCTGAGTCAGGTACCTCTGCTCTGTGCCCTCTCCTCGCCCCTGCCGCCCTACGTCACTGCAGAAGCTGGCTCCCTTTCTCCCGTGACACTCTCACGGCCCCGGCCCCTTCAGTGACTGTTTTGTACCAGTCTGGCTCATGAGTGTTTACAGGAGTGGGACCCAGAGGAGGAGGGTAGAGAATAGCGCATGGCATCTGGGAAGGGGACCAAAATCTACAAGAAGCTGCAGAGTGGGGCGGGGGAGGGGCAGGGAGCTGCTGACACCATCACTTCCTCTCGGGTCCCTCCAAGAGGGACCCAGCTCCATCAGAGAGGTGGGCCTGGCCGAGTACCCCCAGGCCTCCAGTTCCATGTTGGGCAGGTCAAGGCTCCCTGTCTCTTCTTTCTTTTGCCCAAACCCTTCCTAACCTCCCCCAGTAACCCACCCCCAGGAGACCTCTCCAGCACTCAAAGCCCCAGGCAGGAAGCAGTGCTCTGGGCGGAGCCAGAGCCCAAGCTCCCCTGCTCTGGCCCTAAATTCTCCCCAGGGAGGGAGGCTGAGGCTGTGGCTGGTGTGTGGCGTGTGGTGACTGAGGTTCCTGCTGACCTCTCTGGAGGCAGGCAGACATCCAGAAACGGTGTACTGGGACATGGTGGGCTCATCCCTCACCCTCAGCAGCTCCCAGCCCTCCAGTCACCTCCTGTTCGAGGCTTCAGCCAGGTTCCACTGGGAAGGGCTTTAGAGGATGGGGGTGGGGGTGGGGGTCCCTGGGGAGTTGAGGAGGGGGAGCCTTGGTGATTAGCAGGGGAGCTGGGCCGCCTTGTTCTCTAGGTCCTTCAGCTGCCTTCGTGGCAGGAAGGGGGGCTGGCTCTACCCTCTGGTTTACAGGGGGCGGGGTGGGGGGGGGAAGACTTTGGAAATCACAGGGAGGGATCCTCTCAAAGACAGAGCTGAAGGGGGACAGGCCCCTGGGGGGAGGGGGCAGCTGGCCCAGCCATTGTTGGCCTTTAGGAATTTGGGCAACCTACTTTCCCTCTCTGGGCTTCAGTTTTTCCAGGGGTGAAAGATAAAGGATTATTTATGCACAATCAGCAGTCCAAATCAATCTACAAACTGATGCTGACCAGCAACAAAGTCTGGATGAAATGCTCCCCCCACCAAAAAAAAAAAAAGAATAGAAATGGAAGAGTAAAGGCGAGGCAAGGGGAGGGGTGATGATGTGAGGAGCTCTTAAAAATTTTTTGAATTTATTGAACTTTTTGCTGAAATGTTGTCCTTTCTACTTTTTGGTGCTATATTGTCCTTTCTTTTAAGAAATGATGATGGTCGTTGAGGACAGTTGTTTGTTGTGAATTTGACAAAGTTAAAAGTTGGCTACCCAATGTCTGAATGTTTTGGACACGTTCCTAATCTTGAGAACCCGGTGACACTCTGTCTCCCTCTGTCCTCTCCTCAGGCCTCAGGTTGCCTCTCCCGGGCAGACCAATGGGGAAAGCTCCCCCGAAGTGCTGGCCACTCGCTTCCAGGTAGGACGGTGCCTCCTGCTGGGAGCCCCACACTCTGAAGTGATAGGGGGCCCCCTTCCCTGTTCTTCCCGGCCCCACCCTTCCAGGCCCCTCTCTCCACAGGGCTCCAGGAGGACACATACTGACAGCCAGTCCTCCCTGCGGTCTTCCTGCTCCAGCCAGGCCTCCCTCAGCCCACGGCCAGGCAGCCCCTTCTCCACCCTGCCCCCTGCCAGCCCCCAGGCCCCCGCGGGAGAGGTGGTGACCAGCCACAGGTGAGTGCAGCGGGTGGGCCCCCTGGCCACCAGGTCCAAGCCGGCCTCTCAAAGTCTCTGTAGCTGGGTTTAGGGGGCCCTGGGGTCACCTCTGTCTCCCGGGGCAGCCTGGTGGTGGGGCCCCCGGCACACACTGTCCATTTCCCCATTTCAGTTTCCAGAGCCAGGCATACTCCCCGGAACCCACTACTGCTGACCACTTGTCCTACAGGGGCCGCCCCGGAAGCCGACAGGTGAGGATACCTGAGGGGAGGAGAGAGCCTCCTGTCCTGGCTGGTTACTAGTGGTGCCCATGGGGCTGCATGTGGCTGGTCCCACCTAGGCAGCCAGCACCACGGTCTCCTAGTAATAGGCACGCTCCTCTCTGGAGCCGGGAGGCCAGAGCTCTGGTGAGGGTCACACTCACTGCACTGACCCTACCCGTCCAGGCCCAGGTGTCCTTCTACCTCTCACATTCAGACACGCCGCTGCCTCCCCCCTTCCTGCTGGCTTCCTCCCTTCTCAAGTGTTTCTCTTGGGCCGGGACCGAAATAGTTTAGCTGCTGTTGTTGGGATGATTCCCTTTGGCCGTATCTCTTGAACACATTCCTCCCCATTCCAAGCCCCATGCCCGCCCCCAACTCCCATCACCCATTCCCCCTCTTCCTCCTCTGACTCAGCCCCCAAGAACCACCAGAGAACCACCAGCCAGCCTGTGGTTCCGACTCCAGTTGCACTTGGCTTACTCTCTGTCTGCCCCCCTCCCCTGCCCTTTTCCCCTGGACACCCCTGCCAGGTCCCACTGCCCACTAGTGACAGCCCAACACCGCCTTGGTGGTATGTCTCCTCTCTAAGGGCAGGGGTGGGGAGGTGAGGAGTGAGGTGGCCAAGAGCCCTGGGCCACAGCTGCTGGGGGCAGAGTTAGTGGGGGCATGTCCAGCCTTTGGGGTGAAGAGGATGAGGCCCAGCTGCTGGAATCCTACCTCGGGTAGATTCTGCATTCCAGAAAGCAGAGCCTTTGGAGATGACTGGGGGAGGGTGCTAGAGGCTGGGGGCTCTGCAGAAGGAAAGAGGAGCGTCCTCTGGGGGCTGCATAGTAATGGCTCCCTGGTGCCCCTCTGTTGGCCTGCCCAGTGACCCTCCAGGAGCCGTGGGCATAGAGATGTATGTATTCAATGAGATCCCGTCTTTAAAGAATTAAAAATGCAGTTGCAGAGATAAGATAAACATGCAAAACAATTTTGGGAAAATTAAGCACTGAGCAGTATGATATTAATTATAAAAGCAGGAGGCATTCTGGGAGGGGATAGCTGAGTGTGGGCTGGGGTGGCCTGAGAAAGCTTTGTCAGGAATTTTGCTGGATGTCAGAGGCAGGATGGGGTAGCTTTTGGATTAGAGAACGATGAGCTGGGGAGATGGGAACGCAACGGTACAAGCAAGACCTGGCGTGTCGGGGCCTGGGGGCCTTCTCCAGAGAGCTCCGGGCTGAGACCAGCTGGGAATGAGCTTGGTCCACCCTATACTCCTTTCTCACAACCGGGACAAAGGGGAGAGGCGGGTGGGACAGGGAGTGGCTCTTAAACCAAGGGGAGAGGCGGGTGGGACAGGGAGTGGCTCTTAAACCGGCAGCAGCACCTTGGAAATTGTTAGAAATGCAAGTTCTCAGGCCCCAGCCTAGACTTACTGGATCGGACGCAGGCGTGAGGGCTCCTGTTCTAAGGAGCCCTCAGGGATCTGATGCACGCACAGATTTGAGGACCACCCATGTGGTGTGAAGAGGAGCCCTGAGCTGGGTGGCAGGGAGGCCTGGGTTAGTCCCACCTCTACTGTGTCACTTTGGACAAGACATCCTTCCACTCTCTGGGCCTCAGAGTCAGACCCGATGCTCTGAATTCCCTTCTTTCACCCTGAGGCCCCTGGTCGTTCTTTCAGCAAATATTTGTGGAGCAGCTGCTTTGTGTCAGGCACCCTTCTAGGCTTTGGGGATGCATAGGTGGAAAAACAGAGAAATTCTGTTCTACAAATGAGGCCGTGGTCAGACGGGGTAGGAGTCACTGGGTCCCACAGCTCCCTCTTGGGAGTCACCGTGCACTTGAGAACCTTAAAGGCTCTGAAAAGTCCTGCCTGTGAGGAAGAAAGATGTTTAATTTTTTAATTTCCTGAACTTACTTAACTGCAGAATTTCTCCGGGGATCCCCCTGCCAATCGCTTATTAACATCCCCCCAACACATTTTGAGAGGGGTTGGCTGGAGACAGCTCTTGATGGACAGGTGAGCAGCTTTTCTGGATCTAGAGATGAAAGGTCGCTTCTGTGAAGGCAGGTGTCACCTACAGGTGACTGGGAGGGAGGTGGGGAGAGGAAAGGTGAAGCTGCTCCAACTAAGGGCATTGGGCTCCTCTCCACCGGGGTGAGGTGCCCTGGCAGGAGAAAGGTGGCAGCGGTGACTACAGATGAGGTGCCCCCTGCCCCAGGCTCTTGTGGCCATGGCCTTGCTGCTGCTGGCTCCTGAGCTGGCTGAGGCTGCGCTGGGCCCAGGGTGAAGAACGTCAAAAGACCTTACAGAAACCGGAAGTTGCCCCCTCTGGAGAGGCACACACTTGGGTGAGCAGATGTAAAGTGAAAACAACCCCTGTCCCTCTGGCCGGCATGAGGACATGGCCTGAGAAGGGAGTCAGGGCGGATTTCAGCCCTCCCTCCCTGCTGGCCGGTGCCCCCGGGCAGGTCACACGCTGGCCTGTCTAGGACAGCGAGATGGGGCATCGTTCTTGAGTACCTGGTGCCAGTTGTCCTTCGTGAGTTGACCGCATGGAAGCAGCTGGGCACCCAGGAACCTAGGCGTGGACTCCCAGCCCTGGCTCCCACTCCCCAGGTGGCTTGGATTGGCCACTTTGCTTTCTGACCCTTAATCCCCTTACCTGTAGAAGCCCAAGAACAGAAGAAGAATGCAGGCTAGTGCAAGAGGGCCAGTGGGGTGAGGGTCTAAAGGCTTTTTTTTTTTTTTAATTAAAAAAAAATTTTTTTTAAACATTTTTTAAGGCTTCTCTGGTGGCGCAGTGGTTGAGAGTCCGCCTGCCGATGCAGGGGACACGGGTTCGTGCCCCGGTACGGGAAGATCCCACATGCTGCGGAACGGCTGGGCCTGTGAGCCATGGCCGCTGAGCCTGTGCGTCCGGAGCCTGTGCTCCGCAACCGGAGAGGCCACAACAGTGAGAGGCCTGCATACTGCAAAAAAAAAAAAAAAAACCCAAAAAACCAAAAAAAACCCACATTTTTAATTTATTGATTGCATGTGGGATCTTAGTTCCCCGACCAGGGATCGAACCCTTGCCCTCTGCAGTGGAAGCACGGAGTCCCAACCACTGGACTGCCAGGGAAGTCCCCAGGGCTGTTTTTTTAGCACTCTGAAGTTTCTGTTTTCAGGTTAAGAAGTCATGCAGCTTTTCCACTTGACCCCATAATTCATCCCCAACTTTGGACTTTAGAATCGAGGGCATTTTCCTTTCCAGGAGACCACGCCCTCAGCCTGGTGCACCTTGGCCAGCCTGGTCGTCTCTGAGGCTGTCCTTTCCATTGGGGCTGGCCATGGAGAGGGAGCAGAGTAGGGGAGGGTACAGAGTGCAGGCCGGAAAACAGGGAGACTGAAGATTTCCAGGTACAGAGCAGGTGTAGGAGCCCAAGAGGGACAGCACACATCGAGCAGGGGGCTCTGCTGTGGGGACCTGGCTCCCCAAGGCTCTGTGGGGCAGGACCAGACCTTCCAGGGCAGCCGGGAGAGGCTGGTAAGCCCAGACCCTGGCCGTTTCAGAGGAAGGACCAGAGGGTGTAGGAGACAGGACTTTTGTGCGGCCTGAGCCCTGACTCCAAGAGGGTCTTGGCCCTTTATGTTTCCTGTTCCTCATTGCAAAAGGGTCAGCTTGCTTTCTCTCTGCTCGTTCTGCCTACCAGGCCCCAGTGTGCAACATCTTTGCAAACACGTTGTGTGAGATGGCAGAGGAACAGCCATGGTGGCCCCGCACACTCATCTTCATCCTGCCCCTTGCCCAGTCCCCTTAGGGCAGCAGGCTCACCCTTCTAGAGCTGGGCGCTGGCCTCCCTCCCCTCGGGGACCCAGCAGGAGCAGTTGCAGGCGGCTGCTGACCCCCGGTTCTGCGAGCTGGTTGGGTGGGGCTACTGGTCAGCGAGGGCCGGGGGCCCCCTGGTGGTGGGCCTGGGGAACAGCTGGGTTCGGCTGCCCAGATGGGTGTGCCGGCCCCAGGCCCGGCCGCTGACTCCTCCCCTGGTGCCTCTCCTTCCCGCAGGCCGGCCTGGGCCGTGCTGGCGACTCGGCTGTGCTGGTTCTGCCGCCACCACCTTCCCCAGGTCCCCGTTCCTCCAGCCCCAGGCTCAGGTACCAGTGAGTTCTGGAGGGTGGGGTGGGATCTTGGAGGGCCTGGGAGGGGCAGGAGACAGACAGGCTTCCCAGAGAGGGATGGGGTGGGTCCCCCCCCGCCCTACCCACCCCCGTCCACTTTCCTCTGGCTCC